TTATCTATTTTGTTTTGAATCTTTAGTTTTGTGATGGGATTTGGAGTCAATTATAGTTCTCATTTATTGTGGTTTTGACTTCATTTAGGTTCAAGTACTGTTGTGTAATAATTAGTACTTATCATTTGATAACTGGTTATTATATTTACTATGTTGGTCTCTTAGAGAATATTGCATATAGTTTCTAAAACCCTAAATACGAAACTTAACAACCAAGCAAGTCGATATTAGGGGAAAAAAAAATAAGAACGTAAAGAAATTAATACTGAATAAGGACTACTCAACTACAGGTGCTGGATTGTTAAAAAAAAAAAAAAACAGCACAAATATTGTATCCTAAATTATTCAAATGTAAATAAGATAGAAAGTAGGCTTAGACTAAACCCAAGTAGCTATAAAATGCAAATGCGCATATGACCCATTTATGGGCTACACAATAAGAGATAATAGGTATGCTAGAGAATGAATGTATATAAACTCATAATTGAGAGTCATACCATAATAAAATAAGTTTATCATCAATTTTTTTTTTCCTCAAAAAACTTAACCCAACTACAAAATGACCAATTTATCATATATATTGTAGAGCAATAGTTATAAATTAGCCCATTTAGGAATAAGAAAATATTAGGTATTTTAAGAGTAGTAGCGCCTTGGAAAGTTTTATAAATATAATTAGTTAATTTTAATTTTTTCTTAAAAAATAACCATAAAAATTTAAAATAAACTGATCAACTTTATTAAATCTACTAATCCGTTTACATCCTGAAGTAATTGACAGTTATCTTTTATCAATTATCTAGTCAACCGTTTCTTATTCCGTGACTGTTTTTGAAAGCATCAACAATTATTTTTAACATTTAATTACTAAGATGGTTGAATTTAATTGGAGTAATTGTTCTACTATTTAATTATATAACATGGTTAAACTTAAGTAGGTTAATTGAATTCCCGTAGATTCGTGGTAATCCTAGATATATATTGTGTATAACCGATGAGAAAGAATAATTAGAGCAGTGGAGGAGGATCTGGAAATGCAATTTGTATCACAATCACATGTTTTTATTATAAGCCAGGGTTGGTGGGTAGTTTGGATTTATACCAAAATATATAATTAAATTCGGAGGAGAAGCATGATTGGATGCTTTCCACCGACAAAATCCCACTATTTTACTCTCTGTTTGATTCGTCTCTTTAGGGTCCCATGTGTTTCTCATGAATTTTATTGATAAATTTATTGCAAAAGATTTTGTACATCTATAATGACTATATTTAATAATTAAAAAATAACTATAATTACATCATTCACATTCACTAAACATAATATTTACTTGCTTCATCACTATTTTTTGTTTATCGTTTTCATCAATAAATTCATGGACTGAAATTACTCATATGGTTGAAGTACTTTTTTTAAGTGAAATACATACATTTTATAATTTGATAATGCATACACATTAATTATAACACAAATTTCTAAAAAAATATATAAAATATACAAAAATTATTCATATAGTTGACATTTTTTTTTTAAAGTGAAATACATATATTTTATAATTATTGACACATACACATTAAGCATAACATAATATTTTTTAAAATATATAGAAATACATAGTCTTTAAACAAAAAGAATTAGAAATTTTCTTGCATGGGAAATGTAGTGGATATATGGAGTGATGGAATTTGTTGCAGGGAAATGGCAAAGAAACAAGTATGTGGGCGTGTCTATGGTTGGAAAGACATTGGCAGTGATGGGATTTGGAAAAGTAGGATCAGAAGTTGCAAGACGTGCAAAAGGGCTAGGCATGAACGTGATTGCCCACGACCCATATGCCCCTGCCGATAGAGCCCGTGCCATTGGAGTGGATTTGGTGTCCTTCGAACAAGCAATCGCAGCGGCAGACTTCATCTCTCTCCACATGCCTCTCACTCCATCCACTAGCAAGATTTTCAACGACCAATGTTTTGCAACCATGAAGAAGGGAGTTCGTATTATCAATGTCGCCAGGGGTGGAGTCATTGATGAAGATGCATTGCTCCGAGCACTCCTTTCTGGAATTGTAGCTCAGGTACTCTTAATTCTCTTTATTCTAAATTCCAATAAATGTCTCTCTATCCATCTTCACGTCTATGAAAATGGAACAGGCAGCATTAGATGTTTTCACCGAGGAGCCCCCATCTAAAGACTGTAAATTAGTACAACATGAGAATGTAATCGCCACCCCGCATCTTGGAGCTAGCACAAAAGAAGCGCAGGTACTGTTTTTACTCTCTTTCAGTTATAATATAAATAATTGATTAATTATTCTCTATTAATTTAAGCTTTTGAAAAAATCCGGTTCAATGAATTACTTAATATGGCATCAGAGTTAGAGATATAGTGTTGGAATCCACAAGATTTGATATGCATGTGCATTATTCAAGTTTTGGGCCTAAGGCTTTAAATAATTTGTTAGATCAGTTATTTAAGACTTCCTCTCTCTCTCTCTCTCTCTCTCTCTCTATCTGTGGTTTGCTTTACTTACTGTATTGCAACAACATCATATGACAGGAGGGTGTAGCCATCGAAATAGCGGAGGCTGTAGTAGGAGCATTGCAGGGAGAGCTATCTGCAACAGCTGTTAATGCTCCCATGGTTGCTCCAGAGGTTTTATCGGAATTGGCTCCTTATGTTGTTCTAGCCGAGAAGCTAGGTAGGCTAGCCGTGCAATTGGTAGGTGGAGGTAAAGGAATCCAATCTGTCAAGGTAGTTTATAGATCTGCAAGGGACCCAGATGACTTGGACACCAGGCTGCTGCGAGCCATGATCACAAAAGGTATCATCGAGCCAATATCCTCCTCATTCATCAACCTGGTGAATGCAGATTACATTGCCAAGCAAAAAGGCCTTCGTATAAGTGAAGAACGCATGGGTATTGACTCCTCCCCGGAGTTCCCACTTGATTCTATCAAAGTGCAGATATCGAACGTGGATTCCAAGTTTGCCAGTGCAGTTGCAGAGAATGGAGACATAAGCATTGAAGGAAGAGTCAAGTATGGGATACCTCACTTGACTTGTGTGGGATCTTTCGGAGTAGATGTGAGCTTGGAGGGCAACCTCATATTGTGCAAGCAAGTGGATCAGCCTGGCATGATCGGTCAGGTTGGAAACATACTCGGCAACCACAATGTTAATGTCAGCTTCATGAGTGTCGGCAGGACGATTCAAAGGAAACATGCCATTATGGCAATTGGTGTTGATGAAGAACCAGAGAAGGAAGCTCTTAACAAGATTGGAAAGGTACCCGCCATTGAAGAGTTTGTGTTTTTAAAACTATAGATATACATCATTTTTCACAAATTCTGCTCTAGATTGCTCGCTAAATGTATCATTTTTAATGGGTTCTAGTAATATATCCATATAGGTTTCGCAAGAGAGTAGAAAATAAAAAATTAGGAATAAGTTTTAAGCTGATTGTGACTTAGCAGCTACTGATGATAATGTTATGCTACTCTGCGAGGACTTGTTGTTGTACTTTTTTGTTTATATTCTTCATTTCTTTTACTTGCGTGATTATGATGAGTAAAATTGCAATATTTTTTGAAGGTTTATCATATTCTAAACAAAAATGTAATTGCATTTTAGAATCACACAAAAATATCAATGGGTTTGTAGTTTAAAATTTGAAAATTCCCTTTTAACTTTTTTTAAAAAAATCATGAGATAAAAGTAGAGAAATAAAGAGCATGAGATATATAGTTTGATAAAATTTCACCCTCCATATTCTACTTGAAGATTAAAATTGTGAATCGTATTAAGTTGGCTGTATAAAAAAAAAATGTTCATTATTGTTATTTAACAATATGCCTACGGATTGTACTTTTTGAGATGGTGGAGGGAGGTTTATTGTTCCTGTTCTTGTAAAACCTCGTGCATATAATTTTTTTCACCATTTAACTTGTATTCATTCAGCTATGTTTTATTTTCTGTCTCTTTTAATTAGTTCTTAATTCTTGTTTCTATATTAACCTAGTTTTTTAAAATAAAAAATATATTTAAGATTTTTATAGATAATTCTTTTTTTTTTTATTGTCTGAATTCTACAGAGACATGTTAGCCTACAGATACACAAGAGGATATAAGTAATTGGTTCCATCTTCTAGTATCACCGGTTAAAGGAATTTCAAAAGAATTTTAAATAAAATTTTCAATTAATTATTTATTTTTTTAAAATAAAAAGTTTGGAATTTTTTTTAATAATTTTACTAAGAAAATAATTAAAGTTCGATTAAAAAATTATTTGAAAATAGTTTTTTAATGTTATATGCTCAATTTCATTAGAATGGTACTTCGTATAAAAAAAAAATATTTTATAATACTTGCCCTGCCTGCGAGATGAACATTCATTTTATAAGATAATGATATAAGAGGGAGATGTTTGTTGTTATACTTTGAGATAAACATATATTTTTCTAGGGTAATAATATGAGAGGAATATGTTGTTGTAGCATTATGTTTTTCTTTATAGTGCTCCAAATGTGAAGTGTCACCTTAGAAAACATAACAATATATATATATATATATATATATATATATTGCAAATTTTGCAAAGAGTATATAATTGTTTTCATAATTTTTCTCTAATATTAAATGTAGTCTAAATTTTACTACTTCATATTTATTTTTTAATAGAAAGTTAAGTTATATAAGAGTTAAAAACATATTCGTTGTGTCAACATTAACTGCATTGCCTGCTTTATTTTTAGGGTTGTGAAAACATAACAATATATATATATATATATATATAATTTCAAATTTTGCAAAAATCATATAATTGTTTTCATGGTTTTTCCTTATATCAAATATAATCTAAATTTTATTATTTCATATTTATTTTTTAGTTGAAAGTTAAGTTATTTTAGAGTCAAAAATATATTTGTTATGCCAACAGTGGCTACATTGTCACTACAATCAATACCCGCTATAATTTTAAGGTTACTGTGAAAACATAACAATATATATGTATATATTTTCAAATTTTACAAAGAACATATAATTATTTTAAAGATTTTTTTCTGATATCAAATGTAGTTCATATTTTACTATTTCATATTTATTTTTCAGTGAAAAGTTAAGTTATTAAAAGTTAAGAACATATTTGTTATGTCAATATTTGCTGCATTGACAGTACAATCAATGTCTGCTTTATTTTTAGGGTTGCTATGAGAACATAACAATATATATATAGTTTCAAATTTTGCTAAAAGTATATAATTATTTTCATAATTTTTCTCTAATATCGAATGTAGTCTAAATCTCACTATTTCATATTTATTTTTCAGTGTAAAGTTAAGTTATCTTAAAGTTAAGAACATATTCATTATGCCAACATTGGTTGCATTGGCAGAACAATCAACACTCGCATTAATTTTAAGGTTGTAGTGAAAACATAATAATATATATAATTTCAAATTTTGCAAAGAGCATGTAATTGTTTTTGAGATTTTTCTCTGATATCAAATGTAGTCAAATTTTACTATATCATATTTATTTTTCAGTAAAAAGTTAAATTATCTAAGAATCAAGAACATATTCGTTATACCAACACTGGCTGCATTGCCAGTACAATCAACACCCACTTTAATTTTAGGGTTACTATGAAAATATAACAGTATATATATATATATATATATATACTTTTAAATTTTGCAAAGTGTATATAATTGTTTTCAAGATTTTTCTCTGATATCAAATGTAGTCCAAATTTCACTACTTCATATTTATTTTGCAGTTTAAAATTAAGTTATCTTAGAGTTATAAATATATTCGTTATGTCAATATTGGTTGCACTGCCAGTACAATCAACACCTGCTTTAATTTAGGATTGCTGTGAAAACATAACAATATATATAATTTCAGATTTTGCAAAGAGCATGTAATTGTTTTCATAGTTTTTATCTGATATCAAATGTAATCAAAATTTCACTACTTCATATTTATTTTTCAATAAAAAATTAACTTATCTAAAAATCAAGAACATATTCGTTATACCAACATTGGTTGAATTGCTTGTACAATCAACATCTACTTCAATTTTAGGGTTGCTGTGAAAACATAACAATATATATATATATATATAATTTCAAATTTTGCAAGAAGCATATAATTGTTTTCATAATTTTTTTTTATATCAAATATAATCTAAATTTTATTATTTCATATTTATTTTTTACTGAAAAATTAAGTTATCTTAGAATTAAGTGTAATATTCATTATGCCAATATTAAATACATTGTCATACAATCAACGTCCGCTTTAATTTTATAATTGCTATGTAAAACATCATAAATGTTTGCTTCATTACTTAAAAGATGAATAATTTTTTGGGTTTTGGAATTGAAAAGAAAGAAAGCAATGAGATTAAGATTGAGGTAGTGTGACTATCACCTACTACTCTCAATCTCCCCACTTCCACTATAATTATCGCAAAAAGAAAAAAAAAAAAGAAAAAAAGGTAGTTTTCTATTAATAAATTAAGTCGTTAAGTGAAAAATAAGTCAATGTTTCTGTTGCTAAAATTGTGACTTGACTGAAATAGATATGAAGTATTGATGACAGTTTCAAATGCTAGCATAGAATAACAAACATTTCTGCACAAATTAGAAATTTGTTCTTCTAATTTTAATGAATGTCATAAATTTATTTTTGTGTTAACAATATTACTGAAGTTTTTTGGGTTAGCATAAGATATATGACTCAAGAAAATATAACAAATTATGAAAAAATCACAAAGGCATTAACAAAACGAGAAACAAATTGAAAATCTGAGAGTAAATTTGTTTTTAGATTTGTTTATTTTTTTATGTAAATTAAGAAACTCGAGGTTGCAAACTCAAGAAGTTTTTTTTTAAAATTTTCAAAAATCTGTTTTAACATGAGAAATGATTCAGCAAAATATTATTCAAGCTCCAGGGAAATGATGCTTTAACATTACATGTAACTAATATTTTGAATGTCTTTTACTTTTGTAAAAATGTAAAAATGTGAGCTTTGCACCCAAAAGCCTATTTCACATCCTCCTTTCAAGACTGGCATGATAATGATAGATCCCTCATTACTCGAGGGTATTCTAGCTAAGTTGCTAGGCAACATGATCATTCAAAAAAGAAAAAAAAAAAAAAAAATAGAAAAGGAAACCAAAAAGTTTGAGGAATTCTTGAGAAAATCTTTCAGAAATAAGATTTTTACAAAAGGAAAGGACATGCAAAATATTATTGAGATGTAGCAAGTAAGAGGAAGAGAGAGAGGAAACAGAACAAATATCGTGGATGAGAAAAATTGTACTTGTAGATGCCAACATGATCGATGCCCTCATAGTCAGTAACGATGCTCAAGCTAGAGATCATTATATGATGGCTGATGAAGATTTTTATCAGAATTCGGGTTTCAATTGGGATCTTACAGTTGTGAATCAGTCTTATCAGTGGGTTGAGGGAGCAATTGTGTTTAGGCCTGAGTTAAGGAACTGGCAATCTGCGGTTAGAGACAGCTTGTTGGAGGCTGGCATTGATCCCTATAATGGGTTCAATTTGGATCATGTCGTGGGGACTAAGATTGGTGGTTCCACTTTTGATAGTCTAGGGAGAAGACATAGTGCTGTTGATCTTCTTAGTTATGCCAAAGCTTCGAATATTAGAGTTGGCATTTACGCAAGTGTTGAGAGGGTATTGTTAGCATCTTCTTCTACAAGTTCAGAGTCCAGACAGTCGGCAATTGGCTTGGTTTATCGTGACCAAATGGGAGGATATCACCATGCGATGGTGAGGGAACACGGTGAGGTTATACTCTGTGCTGGTGCCATTGGAAGTCCTCAGTTGTTGCTGTTAAGTGGAATCGGTCCACGTCCTTACCGCGCATCATGGGGAATTCCAGTTGCTTATCATCATCCCTATGTGGGTGAATACCTCTATGATAACCCCAGAAATGTCATCTCAATTTTACCTTCAGTTCCACTAGAACACTCATTGATACAAGTGGTTGGGATGACTGAAATGGGAGCTTATATTGAAGCATCTTCCAGTGTGATTCCTTTTGCATCCTCTGGTTCCTCTGCTTTTGCAGCCACATCATTCTCACCACTTTTTCTCACCGTGACCACACTCATAGAGAAGATTGTTGGCCCACTCATCAGGTTCACTCAACCTGGCTTCGACAGATGTGAGAGAGAATCCCATTGTTCAATTCAATTACTTCAGTAATCTAGTGGATGTGGAAAGGCACGTGAATGAGACTCGAAAGACTGGGGATCTTCTGAGAAGTCGGTCCATGGAGGATTTCAAGCTGGTGAATGGTGAGGAGGACGAAATTTCAGGTTTGTTGGGTATTCATACTGCAGATCAATCAGATAATGCGCAGATGGCAGGTTTCCGTCGCCAGACTGTAAACACCATATGGCATTATCATGGACTGTAATATTGACAAATATAAGGTCCACCTTGTTGCCAAAGGGTTTAATCAACAACCATGAATTGATTGATTATCTTCAAACTTTTAGTCTAACTATTGAGGCTACCACCATATGCCCTATGTTTGTCCTAACCTCCTCATTTCAGTAACCTCTTCAACAATTCGATGTCTTGAATATATTCTCGCATGGGCAATCTTGAGGAGGAAGTCTATATGCAGTACTCGTACAGTCTTATTCATTATCACTTTCCTAGTTACGTTTTTAGGTTAAGTAACTCTCTTTATGGATTAAACAAACACCTCGAGCTTCATCAACTCATTTGAGCTCTTTCTTAGGATCTTGTGGCTTTACTTCGTTATTTACCTTAAATTTAATGCAGTAATTTTTTTTTTAGTCTATGTGTAGGATATTAGTGTCACAGGAAGTAGTTTCTTTTAGTCTATGCAATTTCTTTAGCTTGATAAATCACTAGTATCTTACATACCAAGAAGCAGCCTACTGCTGCTCATAGCTCCACTGAAAATGAAAATGTTAATTGCAAATGCTCCCCCAAATTGTCTGAAGATTCTTGGAGAAAGAATGAGTACATGAAGATTCTATACTTTTCTTTATTCTTTATTCCAAATATTGGTTGGAGTAAACTGAAGTATATCTAGTGATGACTAACATATTTTGATAATTTTCTCAAACCATTTGGTATATTTTCTTAGTTCTTGTATAATTTGAGAATATAATTATCTCTAATAGACTAGTAAAAATCTAATCAACATCTCAAAAACAAAATGTACAAAATTTCTACTTCAATGTTAGAGGTGTCAAACAGTTTATCTTGGTATCTTTTAACAACACATTTGCTATCATACATGTTATTCATGTCAATGAATGAAAGAACAAGCTATAAGATGAATAGCTACAGAGGGAAATTCACAAGTGTAACTAGACACAAGAATAAAGACAAGTAACCTTCATGTACTCATCCTTTCTCTAAGAATCTTCATACCTGCATACCTGCAAAAATAAGCAAAGGGATTACTCATAATTTCATTACAAGGATCCTGAAGGAACTCAACCATCGGAAATCACAGACCTCCCAAGCATCATCACAGTTGCCTGAGGATTGGTTCCGGGAGAGACACTAAACGTTGATCCATCAACAATACGGAGTGCATCAAGACCAATAACACGGTAATCTGGATCAACTACTTTCCCTACAACACAACCTCCATGATAATGCCATATAGTGTTTACAGTCCGGCGACAGAAATCTGCCATCTGCGCATTATCTGATTGAGCTGCAGGTAATGGAGGCCCAACAAACCTGAAATTTCGTCCTCCATACCATTCGTGGAACTTGAAATCCTCCATGGACCGGCTTCTCAGAATATCCCCAATCTTTCGAGTCCCATTCACGCACCTTTCCACATCCACCGGATTGCTGAAGTAATTGAATCGAACAGTGGGATTCACCCTCACATCTGTCGAAGCCAGCTTGAGCGAACCCGAGGAGAGTGGACCAACAATCTTCTCTATGAGTGTGGCCACAGTGAGATAAAGGGGTGAGGATGATGTGGATGCAAAAGCAGAGGAACCAGAAGATGCAAAAGGAATCACA